CCCGCTGCTCCCCTCAGCAGTGTACTTCGTAGATCTGCCTGTTCTGCTCCCCACTCTGTCTCTGGTGAAGCCTCTCACCGTCCCTGAGCCTCTGGCCTATACCCCAGTTCTGTATGAATAAATAAGTAAATCTTTAAAAAAAAAAAAAAATATTTGTAAAGGTAAGCATTCAGTAACTCTCTCCCATTGTGACTAATTTATTATTCTGAGGGTCTACTGATCCTGTCTTAAGATATTCCAAGTTAGTATGTGATATTTGAGGGATAGGGATAAAATCCATGTTTTAACCTCTTTCCTTTCTTCACCTTTCCTCCACTCCAGGGTACAGAGGAGGCCAGGGTCAGAACATGCAGGACAGGAAGACAAAGGGACTGACCTGTGTGAAGTAGCTCTCAGACACTTTATCCTCTTCAGAGGGAGATCACAGGACTTTTTGCTTTCTAGAAACTTCCATTTTTACCTTTCTAGATAACTTGAATAACTTAATGCTGGTGAAACAAGAGAGCTGCCTAATGCTACCAGAGTCTGAGAACAAGTTTCCTACAAGCCTACTCTAATGACTAAAAAGTAACCTGAATATTTCAATTGTAAGCCCAAAGAAATTGCACTAGTGATGAGCAAAACGCAAGAAACAGTTCAACAGGGTATCTAAGCCTGGCAAGACTTTATTCCACCCTCCTAGCCAAAAACAAAACCAGAACGGAAGCAACAATTTGCTTTCTCTACACAAAGCCAGTTTATACAACCAGTAAATACACTATTAGCTCCTTGCTCCATTATCTGAATATTTGATGCCCACTTTTTGAAAATTTCCTAGTGAATTAAAATACCTGCATCAAAAACTATGGGAAAGAAGACTTCATGAAGGGAGAGTGACTATGGAAAGGATTTTAGGTGTGGAGGATGATGGAAGCACAAATTGCGCACTTTAAAACAGGTGAAGTATATGGTATGTGAACTATGTCTCATAAAGTTGTTATGAGTTGAGGGGGGAACTGTGACTCTAAGCTCACCTAGACACTCTATCATTAGTTCACATTCTGCAGTGAGCTGGGAACTTATTTTTTAAAAGATAAACTTTAGCTTCCTGTAGACCTATAGATCTCATATCCCTCAGAGGATGATCATTCCAGTTCTTCAATATTTACTAAAAGATCTCAATCCAAATCTGTAACAGCACTAAAGAAGGCAGTTATTCTGCTTCATTTATTTATGCATATAAGAACATAATGCCTCATCACTCAATATAAATTACTGCTGTCAAACTTCCATCAAAAACTTGACAGAGATACTTATTGGAAAACACCAAGTGTGCCATTCTTTTATAAACCTCAACCTGTGCCACAAGAGGCTCCAAACATCAAAAAGCGCGTATCTTAGCACTGAACAAATGTTTCTCCTAAAACTTTAGGGCAAGGAAAATTACAAGTACAGCAAGCACACTCTTGCATATACTTTGCGATGTGCTCCCACTGCCATTCTTCAGTTATTTCTGAATTTTCCTATGAATCAAGATAATTTCCTCAAAAGTAAAGGTCAAGAAAGTCTTCTCGAAGGAGCTGCTGTGTTCTCCCTTTTATGTGTGACTTACAGTTTGCTGCTGTTGATGGTGGTCTCTAGAATGTAACTTAATTTGCATAGGGTCCCAGTGGTAGTACATTCTAACATACTCCCAGACATTTTACTTTGTTTCATTTTATTGTCCATCTATAATACTTATCCTCAGGCACCCCCCCCCCACCCCGTGGCACAAGGGATTAAGCACTATGAAGCTATCCGCAGCCACTGCAGAATATCTGTAGCCGCTGCAGCATGAGTTCAATCCCGGCTAAGGAGCAAGCTGACATGGCACAGCAAACCTCTCAGCAGTGTTTTTCAGTAGATCCACCTGTTCTGCTCCCCACTCTGTCTCTGGCGAATCATCTCACCGCCCCCCACCCCCATACTGTTGGCCTACATCCCAGTTCTTATATGCATAAATAAATAAAATAAATCTTAAAGAAATAAAATGCTTATCCTCACCTCAAATAATTTAAGAAAACTTATAAATACAGAAATAAATGTCGGTTGTATGTGTGTTTTAATGTCAACCTGATGGAGAAAGAATGCTTTCCCTATGGGAACTCCTGCCTAGCATCTGGAACAATAACCAATAAACATTCGTGTCTATAAAGAATCATTTTTTTTTCCCTGAAAGTAGAATGAACTTTATATTTCTACTATTAGGCAGAAAAATAAAACCAGTCGACATTACCTATTTTTTTTTCCATTTTTTTAAAAAAGATTTATTTATTCATACAGAACTGGTGTACAGGCCAGAGGTGCAGGGGTGGTGAGAGGATTCATCAGAGACAGTGGGGAGCAGAACAGGCAGATCCACGAAGTACACTGCTGAGGGGAGCAGCGGGTGGGCCAGGAGAGGTCTGCTGCCATGTGGATCTCCTCCAGGGCAGGCTGGCATCGAACTAATGCTGAAGTGACTTAAGCTTCCCAGTGCTGTGCTTTAACCAGCTGCGCCATATGGGAGAGCCCCATATTATATTTTTTAACGGTTCACTAGATTTACAATCTGATCTTTGAGGGGGTCTTAATTTTCTACACAGCTCTAACTTTTCCAGTATTATTTTTAAATAACCATTGTGAGAGTGATAAGTGTTTTCAGGTTAATAATTAAAAGTCAACTTTCCTTTCCAAAGAAAGGATGCTCAGTTAACACTTTAACAAATCATCCAAAGCTCTGCATAAAAACTACATTAGTTAACCCCATTAAAAATGCTAATGTTGGTCCCTCCCTGGTGACACAGCCAGTTAAAGCACAGCACTAAGAATTTAAAGCCTCTTCAGCATGAGTTCAATACCCACCTGCCTCGGAGGTGATCCACCTGACCTCTCCTGACCCTCATGCTGCTCCCCTCAGCAGTGTACCTCCTCAATCTGCCTGTTCTGCTCCCCACTCTGTCTCTGGTGAATCCTCGCACAGCCCCTGCACCTCTGGCCTTACCCGAGTTCAGTATGAATAAATAAATCTTTTTTTTAAAAAAAGTACTAATGTGGGCCCTTCCTGGTGGGGCAAGGGGCTAAAGCACTGCACTAAGAATCTAAAGCCACTTCCACATGAGTTCAATCCCTGCCTGCCCTGAAGGAGATCCACATGGCGCGACAGACCTCTCCTTACCCACCCGTGGCTCCCCTCAGCAGAGTACTTCAATCTGCCTGTTCTGCTCCCCACTCTGTCTCTGGTGAAGCCTCTCACAGCCCCTGCACCTCTGGCCTTACCCCAGTTCTGTATGAATAAATAAATCTTTTTTTTAAAAAAAAAGTACTAATGTGGGCCCTTCCTGGTGGCGCAACGGGTTAAAGCCCTGCACTAAGAAGCTAAAGCCACTTCCACATGAGTTCAATCCCTGCCTGCCCTGAAGGAGATCCACATGGCGCGACAGACCTCTCCTTACCCACCCGCGGCTCCCCTCAGCGTGTACCTCCTCAATCTGCCTGTTCTGCTCCCCTCTGTCTCTGGTGAAGACTCTCACCCACCGCATCTCTGGCCTGTACCCCAGTTCTGTATGAGTACATCAATAAATCTTTAAAAAAAAAAAAAAGTACTAATGTTAACAAATTTCTCCCACTTGGAGTAATTGCCATGGTCAATAAGTTTTTATCCACCCACTATCAACTCATACTTTTGAGAAAAAAAAAAAAAACAAAGACCTACTAGCAGACCGAATCTGTAGCACAAACAGCGTTTCCTAAAGTGAAAATTTTCACTTTCTATTATTTCATAGTCACTTTCAAATCAAACTATGAATGGCTCAACCAAGCCCAGCCATCTCAGTGGAGCAGCTTTCTGTTTTCTACCAGACGTACTCACAATACCCACTGACCTTTCAAGCCACGCATATCTCAAACGGCTTTCACCCTTTACTCACGTTTAGTAGCGGTTCCGACAGAGAGCTCCGATCTCAGGATGCGTGCGCTCTGAAGCACAACCCTAACCGAACAATCATTTTATATAAACGCTGCGATGAGTCAGCCGTCGCTTCCAAATACACCCTGAGGAAGCAGATTCTACTTCACAATGACAGCAAGGATCTGAACTGTGCTTTCTAAATCGTAAGAGCGTTTCCAAAACCTCCCTGGCTTCCTTCCAGGTTGCCTCCCTCCAGCGGCTCCCAAATCTCAATTCTATGGCCAGGGGGCTCTCGACTCCTGCTGCGCGCTCAGGACTCTCGTCTATAACTACTAAAGGAACCGGACACACCCCGCGCGCGCAGCCAACCGCGGCAGGGGAAGACCTTTCAGTCCGACGTCCACAGCCCAGCCCGCAGCCCACACATCGCGCCCGGGCTCGCCTCAGGGCACTCACTTGAGCAAAGGCCAGCCTGGGAAGGCGCCGGCCCGGGGTCACGGCCACCGTCACGTGCAATGTCACGGTCAGGGGCAGAGCTTCTAAGCCTGGCGCCCAGCTCTAGGACGCAGCGAGAGCTAACAACATAGACGCACGCCAGCTTCATCGCACGCCTCCAGCAGCAGGCAAGGAAGAGCACTGGAGTACCGCCACTCCCTCGTCCCCAAGCTCCCTCCCGGTCTTTGCCTGCGCGCAGTCCCAGGGAAGGCGTGGCGCTGTCTGCCTCGCAGCGATAAGCTCCCGGCGCCGCGGGCGGGGTGGGGGAGATGGAGGGGCTGGAGGGGTAGGGAAACCCCGCGACTATCGCGTAGGAATCTAGCAGGCGCCCAAACTGCCCCCACCTTCACGCAGGATCAGGGGACACACTAGGACAAACCACAAACTCCCAAGACCCGTACGAAACCGAGGGTGCATTACCCCTTAACCCTGCATTTTACTGTATACATTATTCCAGCTAATCAACGCCTCGCCAGACCTAGATCATTCTGGTCACTGCTGGTGACCTTAGCTTCTAAGGACGCTGTCCCGGATGGTTTTGTTGTTGTTGTTGTTATTGTTTTTGGTTTTGAGTTTTTTTTTTTTTTCTGTTTGAGGTTTTTTTTTTTCTGTTTGTTTTCTGTCACACTTTGCCCATCCTGAGAGCAAGTAGGTGATTGCCCTTGAAGGAGTTTCTAAGAAAGTAGATGCCTGCCCCCCTCACCCGACTCCCCACACCCCCGCCAGTGGCTAATAAAACCAGGAACTAAGTTTAAGAGGAAATAAAAGGGTGTGTGTGGGGGGGAGGAGACACAAGATTTTTTTGAATGAATTTTTTACTGTAAACAATAGAAATGTATTCCAAAACACGGCTAATGAATATTCTGCAAAACACTAAGCTAGAAAGTGTGCAGATGAATGAAAAGATTTGTTTATCAAGCATAAAGTGTGTATGATTATCCTAAAATTTGTCCATGGCATCTACCCTCTAGAATGAGTACTTGTATTTAGGTATTTTTTGGCTTACATTTACAAACAAAAATAATAACATCAAATTGTTCAAAGCTACACAAAGGATTACTGTTAATTCTTTACACAATGAAGCAAGTTTTAGGCAGGAAGACTGGGTAAGCAATTAACTGCATAATTTTTTTTTAAAGAAAATAATTGCAAATTTTTTTAGAATTTTAAAAATACCTACTGTATACTGTTAAAGAACTTAAAATAACTGTCCATGATGAACATAAAAATGTAGGTAGTTTTTTTGCTATTAATTTCTGAGTCAGCTTAAAGACCCTTAAATCCTCATATAGAATACATTTCTCATAATTCATTTTAAAACAAAGCTTAAGATTCTTCAGAGCTGACTCTTAATAACTGAGTTTATAAAACATCACTGAAGCTTTCCACAGCCACTGCAGCTTGAATTCAATTCACATGGTACAGCAGACATCTCCTGTCTCACCTGCTGCTACCCCCCCCATGCCCCCCCCCCCCCCAGTGTATGTCAGTTGGATCTGCCTGTTCTACTCCCCACTCTGTTTCTGGTGAATTCTCTCACCCCTTTCTCCCACATCACAGCCCACACCTCACCAACATACACGCCCCACCTCTGTCTACACTCCACTTCATAGTGCTGAGACTTAACCCCTTGCCCTGAACATTAATGTGTTGACTTCCAATAACAAATAGTATTTCACCAAAAAAAAAAAAAAAAATGGGTTTATTCAGCCACTTGTTAAGTATTCTAGTGGTGAGATACAAAGGCCCTGGCCCGGAATCAAAGCCACCTGCCTCTTGTAGAGCTTTTGGAGTGATGCTACTGAAGAAAGGGGATCTTCTTTCTCCTTCTCGGGGCTGGAGAAGCAACCTCACTTCCTGTTTGGCTATGCAAGACCTGTTGGATCCTGCAGTTTGTGACTGCACATGAGCTCAAACTCTCTTTTAACCTCCTGATTCATTCAGATAGGATTTCACAGTGGAAAGTCACATTCTTAACCCAAATAAGGTTAACAACCACTAAAACAAGCAATACAAAAGTTTGTTTTGCTTTAAAACTATTTTCATTTCTGATTTTTGAATAGTGAAGCGGGAAGTTGCTAGTTCTACTGCTTGGAGTCTGTTGCTTGGATTCTGCTGCTTGCTGGAGAAGAAACAATAAAGAAAGTCTATGCTGATGTGGTGACAAGCTTCTGCATGTAAATTGTATAAAACCTTGCCATTTCTGCTCTTCAGGGCTCAGACTTTTGTAAGTGATTCCACTGGGCCTGTAGGTTTGATAAATAAATCTCTCTCCACCTCTCTGAGAGTTATCTGATTTCTCTGGGAAAATAGCCATAACAATATGACAGTGTGTTTGCTAATCAAAGTAATGATTTCTGGGCTGCCCTGGTGGTGAGGGGGTTAAAGACAGCACTATCAGGCCATGAAAGCCTAGTCAGGGAGGTGACCCACACCTTGTGTCTGCCCTCTCCTGACCCCTCAGCAGTGTATTTCAGTTTATTTGCTTGTTCTGTTCCCCACTCTGTCTCCGGTGAATCCTCTCATCCCCCCACACCTCTGACCTACACCCAGCTCTTATCTGCATAAATAAATAAATGCACATCTTAAAAAAAAAAGTTATTATTTCCTAACCCAGTAAGTTCTCAAGCCATTAAATTCTGTTTCACAAATTCAAACTAAAGCCAGTATTTTATAAATGCATTTCCAATTCATTTCATAATTGCATTGTAAAGAAATGAATTATCATAACGTAAATTTTAGTCTGGGGGCTAATTATTTTCACATGTAGCTTTTTCCCATTTAACATTTGGACATTGTAGATAAAATAATGTTAGAGAAAAATCTAAAGATTACTTTCCTAATTTTACAGACTGTCACCTGTTCTAAAGAAGACCTATTTGTATAAATTCAAAAGTCTTGATGATAAATGGGTGACTTACTCATCTTAGACTGCTGCTCTCTGCCCTCTACCTCAAGATCTCTTTTCACTTCAGCTGAAAAGAGTAACTGCCAAGTACTTATAAAGCCTGGCAAAGGGACACTCCATCGATTCATTTCTCAATCTGATACTGATACCCATTTAACTATTTTTTAAAGATTTTTATTTATTTATGCATACAGAACTGGGGTACAGGCCAGAGGGGTAGGGGAAGTGAGAGGATTCACCAGAGACAGAGTGGGGAGCAGAACAGGCAGATCGACGAAGTACACTGCTGAGGGGAGCAGTTGGTGGGTCAGGAGGGGTCTGCTGTGCCATGTGGGTCAGCTCTGGGGCGGGCAGGGATTGAACTCATGTGAAAGTGGCTTTAGCTTCTTAGTGCAGTGCTTTAACCCGCTGCACCACCATTTAACTATTTTTTTTCTCTCTTTACTTATCAAAAATAAAATTATCTATTACCGATCAGCAACATAACCTCAGCTTTTTTTCTATTTTTCTATTCTTAAAAGAAAAAGAGGGTCCTCTCTGGTCGGGCAACAGGGTAAAGCACAGCACTGTGAAGCTAGTGCCACCAGTGCAGCGCAAGATTTTGGTCAGCAGCCAGGGAGATGACCCACTGGCGTGGCAGATTCCTCCTAACCCCTCAGCAGTGTATTTCAGTACATCTGCCTGTTCTGCTCCCCACTCTGTCTCTGGTGAATCCTCTCATTGCCCCTATACCTCTGGCCTATACCCCAGTTTTGTATGCATAAATGACTAACCCTTAAAAAGGCACAAAAAGAGGCTTATATATATAAAGTACAGGAATGTATGACATCATCTCCAGTCAGACAGCTTGTGTCTGAATGGTGGATTTCTCTTGGAAACTTCAGCTTGGATTAGTTACTTAGTCTTTCGGTTGTTATTAGTAATTAGGGAAAAACAATCTCTCAGAGTAGTTACAATAATTAAATGACACTATGTATAAAGTACCAGACAGTCTCTGTCACTGCTTGTACTCAGTAAATTGATAACCATCATTACTGTGCCATGTTTCATATTTAACCAATCTGCCTGTTATTCACAAAACATCCTTCTAGCTATGTTATTCCACAAATGCAGATAAATTTCAGAAGGAGAGTTATTGGGGGAAATGTTACACATATTTAAAGTTTAATGCATACAGTCAAATTTCCCACAAAATATTTGTGCCAAGTTCATAGTCACCCAACAATTTAAAAGGTTGCTTATTCCCTTAAACTCTCACAAATATGAGACAGAATAATTTTAATCATTTTAACTCTGATAGTGAAAAGTGCATGTTAGTGTTTTAATATGTGTACCTTTGACTCACTGTGTAAGAATAAACTTTTGAAGGTCTAGTGATCATTTCTGGCATATCTGTATGTTGTCAATGTAAGGACTTTTCCTACTGTTTATTAATTTCTTAGATATCAATACAGATAAACAGAAAGAACCTGGTTCTCTGATGACATCATCGACAAGTGAAAAATCTCCATGGTACTCAAGTTAGGTTTTCTGTGACTTGCAATCAAACTAACCATCAAAATTGGGATTTCTTTACAAGCCTAAGTGAATGTTTATGGCCATCTCGACATGTATATTGGAGATCTTGAATGGGCTTTGACAACAGTGAGGTGCCACAAGGACCTCTAGTGAAAGTGATGAGACAAATGTTATTCTGAAAGTAAAAGAAAGAAAACAGAACAGGCAACTCTTCCCAAAGTTTCATTATAAAAAAGAGGTGAGAGAAAAAAGAAGAAGAAGAAGATGATGATGATGATGATGAGAGATGCTATTTGGGATTCAGGGAAAATATTTGGTTTAAATTAGGTCAAATATGTGTGTCAGCCAAGAACTAAGTCACAAAAAAAGAAAAGGCTGCTACTGTTATAATCAAGTTTCTTCAAGAGCAGATGGAGTAGAC